ACATTTCTTTATTTTTTTAAATTAAACGGGTTTACGGGTTGACCCGGTAACCCGCCGGGTCAACCCGACCCGACCTGTTTGATTAAACGGGTCAAATCTGTGAACCCGAACCCGACCCGTTTATCAAACGGGTCGGGTCCAACCCGGATTTTCCGGATCGGGTCCGGGTCGGGTTGTCGTGTCGTGTCAAATATTGACACCCCTACCTCTGTTGCCTACCGATTATTGTTTTGCCAACCAAACAAACATATTAATATTGATTCATTCAAGTCCCATTATGTAATGCATGTTATATGATTATTACATAAGTCAAGGCCTTCCCCCAAGGAAGGGCCTCATTTATAATCAACTACAAATAATAGTGGATTCATTCAAACTGGGCCAGGCCCCATGATTTTTCCTTTTTTTTTTCAGAATTTTCCACGTAAAAATTTTAGTCTCTTATGAATATTGCACCATATCTTTTATCTGATTATGTGTTGAATCTTCATATAAAGCTAAGACGTTAAAATTTATATTTCTCTATTGCCACGAATATTCTAGGACGCAACAGGCTTAATTAATATCAGTTGATTAAAAATATAACTGTTTATGAATATGAAATAGTTGATCATCTCTCATAATCTTTGAGTCGGGAATAAATTTGATTGATTTGTTAAATTTTAATATTCCTATGATTTATCTTTAACAAGTGGTATTTAGAACTGATGGTTTATATTGGATCAATCATATATTAATTAAGTAGCTTTGTTGCATGTTAGAATGTTCGCGGCAGTAGATAAATAGAGTTTAACGACCTACGAAGATATAACACACACAGAGATAAGAGACTCGTGTCAAAATCTAATAGTTTGTAGGAATTGAAATTTGGATTGTTATAAATTTAATTTAGGAAATTTTCAATTTGAATATGCTTTGAGATTTGCGCATGATTAAGATGATTTTTGGTGAGTTATCAAATTTATGATTGTGATAGATAATTTTCTAAAAATCTTTGCGAGTTAAATATGAGAACATCATCTTGTTATTACATGAAGCATGTTTGAGGCTTTGTTTGTGACAACTTCCTTACTATTTTTTGAAGCAATTTTTTTGTACAAAATTTTTTAGTTTAAGAAATTTTAGTACTAAAAAGTTGTCATCTCAAACGAAACCTGAGTGTACTAAAAAGCCTTATTTGGGCAAATATATGAAGTGGGATAAAAGTTGCTATTTCAATACTTAGGTTTTTAATTTTAGATTCATAATATCAAATTCACACTTATAGAAGTTACTAATAATTTGAATCTTATTATTTAGGAATTAAAGTATAATTCAAAGATGCTAGCAAAGATAATTTATATTTAGATATAAATAATATAATTTATTATAAAATACATTATTTTATAGGCACATGAAAAAGCGACAAAATGATATAAAAAGTAATTATTCAAATGAAATTTGTTTTATGAAGGCAATTAATGATGTGCATGAACCATACCATATTTGGCATATTAATCAAAATAATTGTATAAGTTTAAAATGTTAAAGTTTGTACAAATTGAAATAATAATAATAAAAGAAAAATAAAGCTAATCTCCACAGCACCACAGATCTAAAAAATATTACTAAAAAACCAGAGTTTGTTTTGTTTCCTTTCCTCCACTCAAAATAAGGGTTCCTTTGGATATGATTGTGACTAACTATTTTATATTTTGTTCACTTTTCAATCATAATTTGCAGCGGCCCACAGCGGAGGTTGTGGCCGTTTCTCGTTGTTTGGCCACGTGGCATGGGCCCATTACTCGGGCCCATATAAGCGGTTAGAAGCAAAACGTGGCTCTCTTTTGACGGCTCTCTGATAGTAAAACAGTAATAAGAAAAAAAAAGAAGACCGATGCATTAAAATAAAAAAAGAGGCAATTTTTACGCTGAGGAGAAACCTTCCGTAGGGGAAAAGGTGAAGAAGATTAAAGAATCGTAGCCATAATGGGCGAGGCAGAGCCGATAGTAAACTTTGGCGTCGTACTGGAGGAGATATTGGCAGAGAAATTACCATTAAAATGGAAAATTTTGCAAGTTTTTGGTCCTATTAAGGGAGAGAGAGAGAGGTCAGGAGGAGATGAGAAGAAGGCTTTAAATGCAGGCACATGGGTTGGAAGGAGGACTTCGAGCAAGTGCTGCGGTTTCTCCTCTTGTCTGCCTCCTAGATACACAGGAGACTTCACGTGTTCTTGCTTTTCTCGTCTCTGCTTATCGCTTTCTGTTGTTTTTCTCGGGCATCGGGAGCGGTAGGGTAGAAGAAAGGAGAGGGCTTTTGGTCTATTATTTGCCGTTTCAGCGGTTTTGTGTTGGCTTTGTTATTTTGTTGTTACTCTGTTGTTGGTAGGGAGATGGAAGAAAAGAAATTGTCTTTCGTCGATGAGTTTTTCCCTGAAAAGGAGCCTGCTTTGCCCTCAAAATCCGATATTTTGAGTACCATCTTCCCTCCACGATCGCCGGTATTATTTCGCAGCTATATTCTGTTTGATTTTGTTGTTTGGCGTGCTTAATCGTTGCCCTTTATTTTAGGTTTAGGGTTATTGTTTTGTAGTTCTTTTGAGGTGGTATTTTGTTATAGCAAAACAGTGTAAACCGCTATGTTAGTTATTAAGTTCAAGTCATGCATGCAGATTGATTTCTTTTCTTGCTTTTCATTAGAATTTTGAAGGATCGATTTAATTATTTGGGTAACAGGTTGCAGTGAAGGATTCAGTTCATTATGAAGTATCGGCCGTGAGGGCAACAAAACAAGAGAATGAGGGCCAGAGTTTGACTGAGCAGATGGGAGCTTCAAGTATATTAACTTGCCTCTTTCTTCTATCTTGAATTAGTTATTTGTGTTTTCTTCGAATTGCTAGAATTTTATTTCTTGTTCTAATCGAAGAAAGAAGGAACTTTTGGGTTGTGTTTGTGAATATCAGAATCATGCTTGTTTTCAGGTGGCAGTTTCCAAGTTAGCCCTGGTAAAAACCAGGAACAGGATGGGTTGAAGAAAAACAATGACCCCAATGTGCCTTGTGAAATAGCAGAGCCTTGTCTTATGAGTTCATCTGTATATTATGGTGGCCGGGATGATTTTATTCCTGAGATTTCATCTTCTTACAAGTCTGATAGCGCAAACAATGTAAGGATTGTAATTTTCTCATGGTACTGTTGTTCTAAAAGATTATTAGGATGGTGATAACATTTTGAGCAAAATTAAATGAAGATGAGAGATAAAATAAACTAAAGATTTCAAACACAAACACATAAGTTCACATAATTTAACGAGATCCATCTGCATCCATGACCCCACAGAGATCAACTATTTCACTAGCTTTCTAGAGGTATATTAAGAGATTACAATTTATATGAATTAAGATAATACCACTTTTTATATTTTAATGATTGAGAAATAACACAATCTGCTGTTGTGAATATGGGGGCTGGACATGAAGAATAAGTGGTTGGCGATGCTCTCCTTCACTCATCTCTTTTCCGCTGCAAGATTTTGTTCCTCTTATCCCTCTTCTCTTCCTCTTCTTTCCTTCTCTAACCATTAATTTCTTTCATTTTCAACCATTAATTTCTTTCATTTTCATAGTTAGAATATAAGGCAGCGGGTGTGAGGAATTAAGTATGAATAGAACTTGACTTAGGTAGTCATATTCTTATAAGTCAAGTATAAAATAATCTCGAGTTAGTTATTTACAATGCGGAAAAATCAAGAATGAATAAATTAAGAGTTGGTAGCCACAAATATTAGAAAATCACAGTCAAATTTTATTCAAGATAATTAATGGAATTTAGACTGGACGCTTAGCAAAGACTTCTCTAAAAGCTTATGTGTAGATCACTTTGATAGTATACTTGTTTGAGATTGGGTCTGTGGTCGATGGAAGAAATTCCTCCCATCTCACCTGGGCTCAAATCCCCTAATTGATCCCCAAAAAAAAAGTATACTTGTTTGTTCACAAGTTACTGAAATGAGTCTCTCTAACCACTTTGTAGTTACCCAAGAGATCAAGTTGGCCCGAGTTCTAGTACCAAGACAAAAGTTGTCTTTATTATTGGATGGGAAACATTTCTCAATATAATTTGCCAAAACTTGTTAAAATCTCATCACTGTGTTAACATTCTACTTCAATTTCAGTACAAGAAGGATAGTGAAGATGGTAATAATTCGGATGTGGCTAATCGAGGGGAGTGGTGGCAAGGTATAATTTGCAGAACTGATAATATTTTGAAAAATATGCTGATTAGTTCAAATAATTTTTCTTCTTAACATTTTATTCTGAACATTTCCTTGTTTGTAGGTTCCTTTTACTATTGAAGATATTATCTGAACATATATGCTCTCCATTTAGGTATGACAGATTTACAAGTTGACTCTAGAGTTTGTATAATTAATTGCATCTTTTATTTTTGTAATGATTTTAGTTATTTTATTGGAAAAGAATGTTTATGTTCTTGCACGTCTTGCTCTTGGGAGCCTTGACTTGTTAATATTTTATTATTGGTTTGCCAATAAAATATGATCTCAAAGTTTGGTTGCAATAATATGTCGTCTGCCTTTAAAAGCTACATATATATTTGCGTCAAAAAGGTCCATACTTGCAAGAAGAAAGTGGGAAAGAATTGTACTGTTTGGAAAAATAAAGCTTTGATTAGTCAAATAAACATTAAACCTTTGAAACAGATCAAAGATTTTATTTAAAGTGAAAAACTGACCGCATCTTAATAGATTTCATGCACGGTATTGCATTGCATTTATATAAATGTGGATTGTTGTCATTAGCTGTGCAGGAGAATTGACATTTATGATTAAAAAGCACGTAAAAACACTTTCTGTGTGGCTTAAAGGGCCTTACATTTTAGAAAGTGTGGTAAGATTTTTTATATGCAAACAGGTGGTTGCCAAGATTATTTGACCTGGAGAAATCGTAAATGCTATCATATATAAATATTCTACATATTGTACAATTATTCTCTCATTGTGTTTTTTGTTATTATTGCTTTCTTCTTCGGGCTTTATGTAATCCTTGTATTTGTTTGTATAAATGCAAAATAGAATATTGAGCCATCCTTCCTCAAATTTTGCTCCCATGGATATCTCTCTTCCTATGCATAAATGGGCTTGTCAAGCTTCTGTTGTTGTCTTTTGAAGGCCATGTAGCAGCTCTCTCGCTTGCTCTTAGATTCGCAAATGTCGCCGCCTACTAAAGCCCGAAATATTGTCACCTCCTCTCGCTATGGTTGTCAACCCTTTTCAAGCCTTCACTCTCCATATCAACTAGTTTTTATTATCTCCTCTTTCTCTGTTTCCCTCTCTCTCGAATCTTCTCTTGGTCAAGCACAATTGTCACCCTCTCCTACTTTATTGTTAACCATTGGCAATTTTGTTTCTTAAGGTTATTTTACTACCTTATTGCCTCATCCTCAGTTAACAACCATGAACAATCTGAGCACATGCATCCACACTGCTGTTCTAGATTGCTCTAACTATAGATTTCCTTCAAAGCTAAGAAATTTCTCAAAAGCTTTCGAGTGCAAGAGTATGTCATTGATGATGATCCTATACTTGCAACTTTTAGATGTTTGCTGAACCGTTGGCTGAACTTGTGACTGTATTGCGACATCTTATGGCTTGCGGCGGCTGGTTTATTTGTTCCATTTGTCTTTGTTCATCTTCGTTGGTAAACCTGAATGTGCATATTGCTGTCATTAACCTTTTCTTCTAATTTTTTTGACCCAATCTTCACATTATTTCTGCACTGTAGTTGAATCTAATTGAATGTATTGGTGCTTAACAATGTTTCATATGAGAAATTTCTTAAATATAAGAGGGGAATTGATTTTTAAGAATCACAAATATATAACCTAGATCTGCAATGTCTCAACTCTTATTATTCACACAAAACTTTGTAGTTATGATAGTATATGTTTTTCTCACTCAATTTTCTACTATTGATCCATCTCATTGATATCAACTATGTCGCACACTTCATTATCTTTAACAAGCCCTTGGACAAGCTATTAATAACTTTATTGGTGAAGTTCGTTTTCTTTGGGCTCAACTTGATCCAGCTTTTAATTAGGATGGCAACAAGGCCAATCTCTCCTGCACAATGATCAGGATCTTGTTTAGTTCATGAATGTAATATGTGATGAATTTTTACTCAATCAAAGTCATTTTGCTAACTTGAAAACTATCATTTTTGAACTTATCTAAGAGGAGATACTACGCGGTACATCAAAAGTCTATTGGTACTCCTATACATAATTTAGTAGCTCATTTCGATCTTTAAAAAAATTCAAGGTAGGAATGATTTGGATGGCATCAGCCCTAACTAGGGTCTTAGAATGCGTCTCGTGTTATTTCCTAACGATCTTCAACTAGAGGATGAGCAAGTCAACCCCATGAAACTTTAGCCAAACCGATTTACCCATGTCAAATCGGTCAACTATAGTCATTCCATCGATGTCCATGAGGGTTAGAAAATGATCCAGAAGAGACTTCTAGTTCCTCCGTTCCTTTATAAATACCAACTCCAACCAAAAAAGATTTCCAACACCCAATGGCAGTGAAGGCCTACCAAAACGCCTGTAGAATTTTGTAAAAATAAGGTGGATGTTTTGCTCTGAATTCAGCTCTGTGTTTTTCTTCTTCTTTATCTCGTTGCATTTTGTGTGACTCTGGGAAGTGCCCTCAGAGTGAATCTAAGTGCCAGTGAGGCTCATTACATCTGTTTGCTGATGATTTCTGCATTGCAATGATATGTTCAAATTTCAGTTTCTAGATATTTTAAGTTGAGATGCATTAGATTGATAGGCTTATATTTGAGTTGAAAGCCATTATGACATGCCATGATGGTGCTGAATAGCTGAAGAGGATCTTAGATTTAGTTTAAGTCATAAATGTTAATAAATGCTATTATATAAGGATGTGCTGAGAATCTTTGTGATGTAATGTGAACTTGTGGTTGGCCATCTTCATTTACATCTCGAAGTGCTTTGGTTGTGTCCTGCTGGACAAGAAGTAAGCTTCTTCTTACTCATAAACTTATATAAATTGAACGTAATAATGCCCTTCCTTTTTATAATAGGTTAAGAAAATAGTGCAAGATGATGATAAATCAAGCTAGGGGTTGTATGATCGTGTTATGATGTTGCTATTGCTTTGAAATAAAAGCAACAATTTCATAAAAATATGAGCTGCTTCAAAAATCGTTTAAAACTGTTTTTCATTGAAAAATGTTAATATTCTAGCATGCTTTTTTATGAAAATTAAAACTGGTTTTAACAATTAAATGGAAGAAAAGTTGATTTACATGAAGCTTAAACAATGTGAATTGAGGTGCAAAGTATGTTTGGACTTCGAAACTTTAAGCTTTTGGGGCCTTGACCTTTCTGTATATATTAGGGGAGAGTTTTAATGGATTATGTTTCCAAAAAAATTTTTGAAAGGCAAATTAGATAAGGATAAGACACTACACAAAGATTTCGCTCTCATATGCGAGTATTTAAGATTTGAGTTTTAGTTTTCTATAGGTGCAAACCCCTATTGTTAATACCTCTCTCGATAATGGGAGAGCACTTTCGAGTAAGGTTAGTTGTTAGTTAGACACTAAGTACTCTTCGCATAGTAGCTACAGATTTAAATATTTTAATTTGGCCAAATTTTAGAAAGGTGCATGTTTAATGCGTAATTAAGCAAACGAAGCGTGATCATTAAAAAATTTTAAAAGGAGCAAAAACGTCAAATAATTTGTCGTTTTCTATAGAAAATGCTAAATAATTAATAAAACGTCAAATTATTTGACGTAGAAAACGCCAATTAATTTAGCATTTTCCATAGAAAATGATAATTAATGAAGAAAAAGCCAAATCATTTGGCGTTTTCTTCATTTTGGCTTTTTCTTCATTAGAGAGAGAGTGAGGGGGAGAGAGAGAGAGAGATGATTAGGGAGAGAGAGAGGGGAGAGAGAAAGATGGGAGAGAGAAAGAGACAGGTGATGTGGGAGAGAGGAGGGGTGAGAGAGAGAGAGCTGATGGGGAGAGATTTTTAAAAAAATAATTAAAATAATTCTTTTTTAAACAATTAAAAAATTATTAATTAAACATTTAAAATATATTTTTACTAATATTTGAAATATATTTTAACTTATTGTTAAAATTAATAAAAAATATTTTTTAAATATTTAATTAATAATTATCTTAAATATTATTTTAACTGTTAAATGATAATTATTTTAACTATTTATTTAAATTATAAGGAAATCCTTAAACATTTAAGCCACCAGGTCAGAGGGCCTTAGACAATCGTTAGGGGTGTCAAAAAAGATTTTCAGTTTGGGTTCGGGTCCAACCCGGAACAGACATGTCTTCAATTGATCCAACACAAACCCGACCCAATAACACAAATGAGTCAGCTCAGAACACCCAGACCCTCCACCCCAAACCCGAGTCGACCTGACCCGACATTTTACTCGAGCTAGTGCATTGATCGAGCAAGGCGGTGAGCGTAGTGTGTACGTGATCGAGCGCATCAGGAGCAGCGGGCGGGTGCACGCGATGGTTATGATGCAGGAAAACGTGTTTGAGGCGCGGGTTTAGGTTAATTTTGTGTTCCTTTCGAGACCCGAATTCGACCCAAAATCTCAAATGGGTCATAATCCAAGACCCATTTTTCAAATGGGTTAACCCTAGGTTTTTGTGTAATGTCAAATGATCATTTATCACGTGAGGCTATTCGGCCAAGTTTAGGATGTAAATAATTCACAATTTTGTTTATTGGAACCTTGTCAATTCCTCCCACTTGCTAGTATAGAATCGGGTTACATTATCCATTTTTTGAGTTATAATATAAATGTTAAGAATGAAGAGCATATATTTTTTTGACGAGTTTCTTTAAATTAGCCTTTTAAGGCCTAATGTGGATTTTAAAATTAAATATCCTAATGGATTTGTGATTAGATGTTTTCTTGTTTAATCAAAGTAGTGTCAACTTCGGTCCTTTCTAGGAGGAGAACTGATCTTGAATATTTAACTCATGCAATATTTTTGGACTTTAGGTGATTGTATGTTTTGCACGTTTGTCGATGCACATGCAGTGAATTTGAATATTTTTTAAATGACATACATATTTTTTGATGCATATGTATTATGCATTTACATGCTCTTCGGAGTGCTTGCACAATGCATATGCATGCTTTTAATGTTGTGGCATATTTTTTTGTGCACTTGCGCAATGCATTTGCAGGCATTTTGATGCATTTGCATTGCGTATTTGCATGTTTCTTGCTTGCATGTTTTTCAAGGTAATGCATTTTGTTGGATCGTTGCATAGTTCTCGAGGTAGTGATATGCTTCTTGAGTCAATAACATATTTCTTGGGCTTATTGCATGTTTCCCGAGATTGTTGCATGCTTTTGGAGGCGATGATGCAGTTCTCAAGATGGTTTGTTTAGGTTTGGGAATTTGCATTTTAATGTATGTGAGTATTTAAAATATTTAAACTTAAACATTTACATGAGTGTTCGCTATAGGAATGTGTGCAAAGTTTTATTGAGGGACATAGTATATATTTTGTCTGCTTGTTCATTTGTTGTGGATCTAGTGGTATTAAATATAAAGTATATTATGTTTCAAATTATTTTAACTCTCAAATTAGACAAAATTTGTCTTTATATGCGTCATTTTAAAGGCAAGCGGAGCCTTAAGAGATATATGATTATCTTCTGGTGATTGTGATTTTCATCTTTATATTGATTTTATAAAGATAGGTGAAACCTGCTAATTCTATTCCGATCTTCTGATAGTTATAATCATTGTCTACAAATGAATTTTTTAAAATATAGACTTGCGAGTTATTATTTTTCTTCTATAAATAAAAAATATTTAGTTCATTTTTTTTATTGAAGTTCTATTCACAGTGTAAGTCCTTTGAGGTTTATATTCATTCGTGTGTTAATGAGGAGTTTTTATGCTTGCAAGGGAGCTCTTCTTACTCATCTCATATTCCTTATAATTCTTTTAAATTTTATAAAATTCATTTAATTATAATTTATTTTCAATATTTATTTAGGTTTGGTTCCCTATAAATACATTTAGTTTGAATTTGGTAGCCTTTCAACATTTCCTCTATATAGAAGAAATTTTGAGGTGCACTAAAGCCAGTCTGCCACAGTTATTTGAAGAGGGATGCTTGGTGTCAGGTAACACCATGGTCGAGAGTCTTCTTCCCCAACTCGCTTATCAAAAATTTATGGGGTCTTCATCACATTTAGAAGCGAATCTTCCAGTAATGCTTATCAGAAGTGAACGAGTACTTAGGTTTACTAGTTATTCTCGTCCACATTTATCAAAAGTGGATATATACCTATATTGAGTTTGAAATTATACCAACTCAGCTTAGCTGTCATCTGGTTATAGTTGCCTTGAGCATATAATTTCAAAACTCAATATAAGTACATGTTTACTTCTAATATGCACGATGGGGAAAACTTACAAACCTAAGTATTCGTTCACTTTTGATAAGCGTGGTTGAGACATTTGCTTATTTTGGTGATCAAGATTCTATGTGTTATTTATAAAGTTTGTTGTGGAAGAAGACCCCTGACCGTGGTGTCACATGATATTAATCGTCCCGCTTATGATAAGTGTGATGGGTAGTCTTCAGCGCTTCCCAAATTTTCTCTTACATGGGGGAGACATCGGGATATTGCCATAATTTAGACTAAGTGTATTTATAAGGAATTAGACTTAAATAACTGTTGAAAATAAATTATAATTAAGTAAAACCTATGAAATTCAATGGACTTATAGGAACTTGAGATGACTTTGAAGAACTTGCGAGCACAGAAACTCTTTACCAACACTAAAATAAATGTAAACCTTAGAGAATTTGCTCAGTGAACAGAACTGCAATGAAAAGAATGAATTGAACCTTTGCTATTTATAGAAGGAAAAACAATAACTCATAGGCTACGCATATATTTAAAAAAATTCATGTGCAGACAAAGATTATAGTTATCAGATGATATGGACAGAACTAGCAACCCTACTCATCCTTATAAATGTATATATTAACAAAAGTCACAATCATCAGAAGAAGATGATAGATATCATAGTCTCTGCTTACTTTTAAAATAACTCATATAAGGATAAATCCCGTCTTATTTGAGAGTTAGCAAATATGAAGCAGAATATATTTTGTATTTTATGTCATTAGATCCGCAACTAACATACAAACGGATAGAAGACATGCTTCGGGCCTCAATAAAATTTTGGAGCATTCCAATAGCTAACACCCACGTAAATTCTTAAGTCTATATTTTTTTATTCCCCATATACATTAAAATGCAAATCCTCGAACCTAAAGCATGTTGTTTCGAGAAATATACCACTGCCTCTAGAAGCATGTAACAGTCTTGAGAAGTATGTGAGACCCCCTAGAGGTAAGCTACCGCCTCCAAAAACATGTCACTAGCTCGAGAAGCATGCAATAATTCAACAAAGCGCTCTGCTTTCAAAAGTGCGCAAGCAAATTAAGAGCATGCGAACATACAATGTAAATGCATCAAAATATGTGCAAATGCATTGTGCAATCACATATAAAAGCATGCTACCATATTGAAAGCATGTATATGTATTGTGCAAGCATACCAAATAGCATGCAAATGCATAGTGCAGATGCATCCAAAATTATGCATGTCAGCTAAAAAGAATATTCAAATTTCTCGCATGTGCTTCGACAAATATGTTAAACATGCAAATACATAAGCTTTGAGAATACTGCGTGAGTTAAATATTCAAATCTAATTCTCCTCGAAATAACTGTAGTCGGTATGATTTTGATTAACAAACGAACGCCTAATCACAAATCTATTGGAATATTTAATTTTAAAGTTCAAAGTATGATTTAATTGTGGAATGTAGTCTGCTCCAATTCTTGCTTATTAACTGAAGAGGATGCTAGAATTAGCTTAAGATATAAATTTTAATAAATGCTACTGTATAAGAATAGACTGAGACTCCCTGTAATGAAAATGTCAACTTATGATTGACCATCTTCTTTCACATGTGGAAGCTAGTAGGTTCTTGCTGGAGAAAAAGTAAGCTCCGCTTAGCAAAATAAGGGGTCATAAACATGTCTACATTTACCATAATCTTGGCCCTTCTGGTATAATAGGTCAGGAAATGGGGCAATATGATGATAAATCAATATCTAATATGGTATGATTGACATTGAAATAAAACATTCCGATCTTGCACTAAAATACGAGTTGCTTCTAAAGTCTATTTTAAACTGTTTTTCATGAAAAATGGTAATATTCTTAGCATACTTTTCTCATTAAAATTAAAAAAGGTTTTACAAAAAATTTAACAGAAGAAAAGTCCAATTAAATGGAACTTAAGTCCATCAATTGAGGTTTCTCAAAGCATAGTCAGTGGTTTTCAATATTAAACTGCAATGAAAATTATGTTTGCATATAAATACATTCATTTATATACTTAATATTTTCATCTATCAAGTTCTTTTCAAGCCAAATATAATCTAACATACTCTTGTTTGTGTTCAACTCTTCTACTTCAAAATGAGCAAAATATGACATTTTAATGGAGCTTGAGTTCTTATGAATGCCTTTCATGGCATGCTTTGAGCTTCTATGCATGGAATGTAGAAGTTTTTATTGTTTAATGACTGCTTTTAAGCTATATTGATGCCTATCTGTTGATTGTCTCCTTCAACAGGTTTCATGGAGACCTTATAACTGCTTATGTAGGTAGGAGCTGTGTATACTCCTAGTGGAACAGAGGACTTTTATCAAGCTCTGTTGCTACCGTTATCTAGGAAGTTTGATCGGTTCTCTGGTTTTAAACTTCTTAAGCTTTTTAATGTAACTATTTATGAGGTCTTCAGCCCCAACTTTAAATGTAGGGAGCTTGGAAGGCCGCTTAGCTGACAAATGTTTCAAAACCCAAGATATTAAGTACCGTTATGTCGATGAGTGGCTACTTATAAAAGTTGATTTGAATGTTTGCTTTAAATGTATTAATATGTTTCATTACCTATAATACTTGTTTCACTCTCTTAGATTCTGGAGAACATGGAAGCTAGTATTATTTGAAAGAGTTCGGCTCGATTCATCTTCATTCTTATGGCATTATCGGTAAGTAGAGAAAAGTAGAACTTGTCACAAAGTGAAAGGTTTTTTCTTCAACACAATTGCTACCGATCATCTTCTCTGCTGATATCTGTGGTTTACTATTACAATTTTTGTATTATTAGCCGCATTGGTTGCTGTTGCTCTTATGCGAATGGGTTGCTTTTACCTCTGGTTTGCAGTTATAAACTTATTTTTTGGCTTTGCACCTAAAGAGAGAAAACTCTTACATCATAAATAGTGTTTGAACCATGAATCAAAAATTCTCTTGTATGATTCATATAATGCATCATTCTAGTGTGCATTGGGAAACCCTCTTAACCACCCCAATCATTTTATATCATGAGAAATTATTATGTGCGAAGTCCAGATGCGTGCAGACTCTAATGAGATTGTGTCACATCACATATACGCAACAATGTGTATAACATATACACAATGTACAAGTTCTACACATTACTATGTACAAGTGATATGACACAATCTCATTGGAGTCCGGATGCGAGTTACAACTCCGCATGTAATAATTTCTCTTATATCAGAGCTTTAGGTTGTCATCTTGCAACCCAAAATTGGTATTAATTAACAGGGAAATTTAGCAAATTGTGAAATGAATGAGATTTGGACTACTTTGCAAAATCAATTGGTTAAGTTGTGTTCAGAGATCATTAAAGATCCTATGATCACTATCTAAATTAGATTTGGTTTGAGATTTGATATCATAAAAGAGATGGCATCTCATCACCACATTCTATTATTTGAGGGTGCTTTTTAATTTGTGTTGATTTTGAGCAAGTGTTAATTTTTTATATGTTTGAATATCTTGGGAGCATTTTATTTTATCAAAGTATCAAGTTTAGTTTGTTGGACCAATTTTATCAATGATAGTAACATTATAATTAATAAGAGCACTAAGGCAAAATCATTTGCCTCAGGTCATATTTTAAATGTCCTAAAATTGGTTATTATGCCAATGTGTTTAGTAAGAATATAGATATAAATGTGGAGATGGGAGATTATGAAATCAATGATTCTAATGAGGAAATAGGTGATTCTGAGGATACTTTAAACTTTAATTAATAATTCTTTTGGATGTTTTGGAATCATAGCTACTTTTAAGCTTGAATATGCTTAGAAAAGAATTATAAAATTTCAAATATATTTCTAACTTAAGAAGTTGTTTCTAACTTATGATTGATAAGGAGAGCTGCACATAACTCTCCTTGGCCTATTGGTTGAAAGCTTAGGCTTCCAACCAAGAGGTCCAAGGTTCGAGTCCATGTGTATGCATTGTGTATGTGAGTTTGCCTTAAATGGCCTAAATGTCCCAAAAAAAAGAAGATAAGGAGAGCTGCATTAATGTTGTGTTATGGTTTTTGTAATAAATCACATGAATGTTGACCTTCACATCACCCTCTCAAAACTCTTGTAGAAATTATGGTGAAATACCTATGCATTCGGCGTCGCCCCTGTTGCCTCATGATTCACTCGTCTCGACCTCTGCACTCCTGTTCGTGTTAATGAAACGAGGAAGAACGAAGTTTTCGGTTATGTTCTCCTGCTCGCTCTCTGCTCCCGTCGAAGCATTTCGATCCACTCCCCTGTCTCCAGACGCTCGAATAAACTTCAGCCAAACTCCACCTCTCGCTCCAACCTCCCGATCTTCCACACCTCATGCTGAAGCCTATACCCGTGCCTTCCGCTGTCCGATCGAACAGACCTGTCACTCCGTCCCAGCTCTCTCGTCACCCTTGTTGCACGCACCAGCCGCACGATCCTCCGTTCTTCCTCACGTTCTCGCGAGCTTCAACACCTCTGATCCCCCCCACGGCACAGGAAACTGGCTTCTCCCTATCACGTTCCTTGATACGTCGTACCGACCCCAGGTAGCCTGCAGCCAACTTCGAACACCCGTTGAACCAAAGCCACCGTGCCGAAGCTTCCGATCCTGCTCAAGAGCCGCAATAGCTGCCTCCCATTGCCGGCCTGCATACCAAAATCTCTGCTCGGTCCCGAACCCGCCGATCCAAACGATCCAGCCGACCAAATCTCACACCTTTGCTTCCTCCCTATTGTGTCGAATCCCTCTTCATGCGAGTAGGCCGAGCCCGGCGCCTCCTTGCTTTAAACTGAGCAGCTCTCGTCGATGCGATCCCACTAATCCAGCCTCAATCACACTCCAGCCAATCAGCCTGATCCCTAATTGTCCAAATCCGGAACCTAACCCGACATACCTCATCCATTCCACCTTATAGCTGCTAAATTTCCTATTCTAGCCGATCCAAATAACAAATCTTCCTTCTTCAATCCAATCAGACCTCCTTTCTATAGTTTTTGTTATAAAAAAGAAAAAAAGAAAAAAGAAAAAAGAAAAAATGCAAAAAAGAGAAAGAAAATTGTTTGTCTCGATCATCGTGCCCTCAATACCGGCGCCTCCTCGTTGAGGTATAAATGTCCCCAAACTAAAAAAGCTCCAAACCTTATTTTTGGCATTTGAAGTGTGGCAAGCAACTACATATGCTCGCATTTCTTAGCACGATGGTAGGAAATTCATTGTGGTGCTTGCAATAAGACGGGTGAACCTTGTGCACGTTTTTCTTAGCATAGCGGGGTAAAGCTTAAGTACTCGTGTAGTGTTTTTATGCCTGCAGGAAAAAAATGTATTTTTAAATAGGTATCCTTAAAGACCCATACATGTCTTTCTTGACTTGGTGGGGAAGAATTGTTTGAATAATGATGTTGATGGTGTAAAGTAGAGGACGGAACGAGAAGTAGAGGAGGAATAGGATTGTCTGATTGCTGTGTTTGCCCGTTGTCCGCGGCCGCCGAGGATTTGAGAGGAAAAACAGATTCGTGAAAGACTACATGTCTTGATATATATATATTTTATTGTTAGATAAATTTAGACACTTGTAGCCTTTGTGCTGGGGAGAATAGCCGAGAAACACGCAAGCTTGAGATCTCGTTTCCAGTTTGTTCAAGGTATAGGGTTGGAGCCATGGGTAGCAAAGGCATCCGAAGGTTCTTAAATGGTCGTAATCTGGCGGTTTGTTGTAGAGTTTGTGATATGGGGACTGAAGGTGGAGCGCCTTGGAAGGTAGGCGATTGATTAAGTAGTTAGCCGTTGACACGGCATCAGTCCAGAAAGAATTCGGGAGACCGGCTGCGTGAAGTAGTGTGCGGGTGAGATCCAATAAATGGCGGTGCTTGCGTTCGGCTAAGCCATTTTGTTCCGGTGTGTGAGGGCAGCTTAAGTGGTGGAGAATGCCGAGTTTTGTGAGGAAGTCTTTGAATTCATTGCTTGTGAATTCTCCGCCGCCATCGGAACGAAACACCTTTGGAGTAACTGAGAACTGAGTTTGAATCATAGCTAAAAGATTTTTAAAACAGTTAAAGGTATCACTCTTGTTATGCAAGAAATAGATCCAGCTAAAGCGAGTAAAGTCATCAGTAAAGATAACGTAAAATCGAAACGTATTAGAAGAAGAAGACATAGGTCCCCAAACATCCGAGTGAATAAGTTCAAAAGGATGCGAGGTTACATATTTGCTATTAGAAAATTTTAATTTGTGGCTTTCGCCATACTACACGATTGACAATTAAAATCTGAAGAAATGTGAGGAATGTCGGTTGTGCTAGATCCGATGTTGTTTAGAATCTTGTTATTCGGATGACCGAGTCGAGCATGCCATATCGCCGGAGATGTGAACCTCGTGTGAAAGGCTTGCTGTCCGGGGTCCGGTTCTACCTGAAGTTGGTAAATGCCGTTATGCAGGTGACCACGAAGAAGGAGCTGTTGATCCTGAACATCCTTAATTTCAAAGCCGTTAGAATCAAAGGTGATCGAGACCGAATTGTCTCGAGTTAACTTAGATACAGAAAGTAAGTTGTGAGTCAAATCGAGAACATGAAGAAGATGACAGAGACGAAGCTTACGAGGTGTATTTGGCAGAGGGAGCAAACCTTGACCGAAGTGTTGGATCGGAATGGTGGATCCGCTGGCTGTCGAGACAGAGTCTTGCCCATTATAGATCGAGGGATTTTGAATAGAAGTGTTATCGGATGTCATATGATTGGTTGCACCCGAGTCCAGTACCCAGTTTTGTGTCAATTCTTGATTTGGTTGAGCAAGAAGAGCACGCGGGGTAGAGGAATTCGGCGGGGTGTAGTTGATATTAGTTCGGTGCCAGCAGTTGAAAGCGGAGTGACCGATCTTGGTACAAATTTGGCAGATTGGTCGAGAGCCAGAGGAGTTCTGCTGAGTGTTGGATTGATCGGATCCGGAAGAGTTTCTGTTCGAGTTTGGTCGTGGCTTGTAGTTCCTTTTCATGTTCTTGGAGCGATTTTGGTTGGAATTGGTGACGTAGAGAGCTGCGGAAGCCGGATTTTGATCTTTCTTGGATTCTTGATTGACGTGAATTTCTTCACTGCAGAGGAGCGAGTAAAGAGCGTCAAGATCGGCCGGAAGAGGGGATGACCGAATGTAAGTCTTGATGGGGTTGTAGCAGGCCGGTAGACCGTTTAAGGTGTGAAGGATAATATCTTCCGGATCGACGGAGCTGCCGGATGCTGCGATGGTGTCAACTATGTTCTTGATGTTGCCGAGGTATTGCTGCATCGTGGAGGTATTCATTTGAACGTTATGCAATTCGTTCTTGAGTTGTATGATGCGCGAGCGACTCGAGGATTGAAGTCGTTTTTCCAAGGCATTCCAGACTTCATTAGCGGTGGAGTAGGTGATGACATACGGAAGGATTGCAGGCGAAATCGTCAAGAATAAAGCCGAAACGATGTTGCTGTCAATGAGACGCCATTGAGCGTACTCGACTGAATTTTGATCTGGCGGAGGGGTGGTGGTGCCGGAGAGGTGAGCAGCGTATCCGTTAGCCGAGATATGCTGAAAAATTTGCGATCGCCATAGAGCGTAATTGTCGGAGGTAAGTGTGTAAGGAAGCAGGTTCTTGATATTTGAGATGATGAATTTGAGCGTTGGCGGAAGAACAAGTTCTGCGGTGACCGTGGTGTTTGCCATTGTGGATGCGGGAGGGAGAGATGATGAAGAATCTTGATCCCCCATCTAGCTTCTTGATACCATGTTAGAGTAATTGGAGAGGAAGAAGGAGCACAGAGAGGAGAGCGAATGCAGAGTTAAAGAAACAGTATGAATTATCTTATTAAGTTTAGAAACTGATTACAGATGTATTTATAAGCTTTGAGCTGTAGTGAATACAGTTAGCTGATGTGGGATATATCTACATTGCTGTGCTTACAGACAACAGCTGTGGTGTCACCTGACACCAAACGTACATGCCTTTCTTGATGTGGTGGGCAGGTTAAGACTCCCCAAAATTCTTCTAAATAAGCGAGACGTTGGGATGATGCTAGAATTTTGACTGACATGGAACATAACTAAAATCATAAGGAATTGAATTTGAACAAATTAGGGGACCGAACTTGAATAAACCACATGATTTTTCCTAAATGCGAGAGATGCTGGGAGGACAACAAAAGTGGAATTGTAGGACTCAAATGCGCTTGTTTTGGACAACGACACTTGGACACGTTCAACGATGCGCTCGTGTGGACTACAAAACTCGGACATGGAGGCAGACGACTGTGGGACTCGAATCTTCGCAAGGCTTATGAGTTGGCACGAGCTTATATATAGTGGGACGAGCTCCAGTTCGAGTTCGCCTTTTATGTTAGAGCTACACTCAACCTCAAGCTCAAGTTCAAGTCGGCTTTCTAACTAACGAGTTGAGTTCGATAGTGTCAATAATCAGCTCGTTTATACCTTTAGGTTCAACTGATGAAGCAAACTTACCCATAATTACTTTGATGATGATCGTGTTGATAGAAAATCTCAATCGAAAGGGACCCCAAATATTCAAAATGCCTCCTAAATTCCTATAAAATACAAGCATATGTAGTGACAATAAAGTCATCCTGATGATGACCGTAATGATAGAAAATCTCATTTGAAGGGGATTTTATCTTTCCAAACATTTAAAATGCCTCCAAATTCTCATAAAATGCATTCAATTGACTTTTTTGTATTCATGAACGATATTAATGTTTAAAATTGGAATAAACACCAAAGCGCTTACAAACAACGTACCTATCCACCCTCTGCAATAGTTTGTCGAGGTGAACAAGCTAGAAAATCATTTCAACTCACGAAGAGCGAATGTCTAGTCGAGAATATCATTAGTATTCATTTTGAAATTATCTATTATCAGTAAAGATATGGTGTATGTCTTCTAACCAGTGATTTCGCCGCTAAATCGCACCATATGTAAACGGTTATGATTGAGACCCTCTAATTGGATTTTTTTTATCATTAATTGGTACCACTAAATTACAGTTATGGTTTGAGCCTATATGTTCCCCTAATTTTTTGAGTAATAAATCAATAGGATATGACTGATAAGGCACAAAGCCCTCTATTAGCCAAGATGGCTTCAAATTTATCTCCTTAAGAAAACATCCATCGTAAGTCTACAAGGAAACCTTCAATGAAGCATCCTATCACTGCTGACAAGGATCCTTCGGTTAGGTTGGGTCGACTACCTCCTCTGACTAAAGTAGACTAGGGATCTTGATGACCCAGGATGATGGAACCAAAGGATCTTTATCGAGTCCACCATCATTTCTCCTACCATCCGCTTTAAGTGTAAGTTGCTGAATTTTTAATTTTAGATGTTAAATTTTAAATATCAAAACTCTGCTACTACTATACACCGGATACAACGTATCTTTTTTACGACTAGCCTTAATCGAAAGTTATCGTTCGTCACTAGGAGCTGAGGGATAATTAAATATAGAGACTTGCGCCTATAGGAAACTTGAACTTAGATCCTAAAGTCCTCGTAAAATGAGGGTGAAATCTCTGGGCAATGTCTTATATAAAACCCAATATGCATTCTAAAAATTTGCTTAAGAACTTAAGCGTTAAAACTCTCCTCGACGACAAAAAAATAAAAAAAATAAAAAAGTAATAATAATAATAATAATAATAATAATAATAATAATAATAATAATAATAATAATAATAATAATATAAGAAAGGGGTATGAATATTCAGAGCCCACAATGAATTTGAAATTTGAAGCACATTCATGATCATATAATATGATAGATTGGCCATCAAAGGTGTAAAGTTCCTATTCAGTTAACTATCTATATTGATAAAATTTTGTATGATGTGTTGCATATGGATATTATTGATGATATTTTGGGCACACCTTAATTGTATGATTTAATTGTTATTTGTTTTAGAATAGCTAATACATATGCTTTCAAAACTAATAAGAAACTGGTGATTTTCAGATTATGGCTTTGCATGATGATGTTAAGCAAGTATTGGCTAGTTTTCAAGATATTTATCTTTATGAGCTCCCTAATGAATTACCATTATTTAGGGATATACAACAAGCTTTGATTTTATTCTTAGCTGATCATTACCTAATTTGACTCATAATAAGATCAATCAAATTAAACAGTTTGAGCTTAACAAAGATGTTATAATTTATTGAAGAGGGTTTTTATTGAAAACATGAGTCCAATGGAAGTTAACATATGTATGTGGAGAGTAGTCATTAACAATCTTTTTTATACACACAACTCATCTTAGTGTGTTGGTTGGGAACTTAGGCTTCCAACTAAGAGATTTTGAGTTTGAGTCTTTGTGTATGTATTGTGTTTGTGAATTTGCCTTAAATGACCTAAATGTCCCAAAAAAAGATTATTATAATAAGAACAATTCTTTCATCATTATTATTCATTATGACCTTCGAGGTTTGGTCTCCTTGAATGGACTACAAAAATATTCTCTCACCAGTTTGCTGCATCAGAACATTTCATTAACAATTTTTCTAACAATGAGAAGCACATTATTTTGTTCAAATATGGGCTTTGTTAGCTGCAGTAGAACCATAAAAAATTTAGCCAATCCCAAATAGTTTGAACAATACTAATGATCATAACGAGAACTATACAGCATTTAGCTATGAAAGTCTTATAGAATAGTAGCGCACCCAAGATTTTATATGCCATAAAACTTAAAAGCACAACGAGAAAATGAATAAGAATGGAACAATGTAGCACATCAAAGTGCACTAATCATCAAAAAACCACGCAATATGGACACAAATTTAAGCCCCAACTTCTGCCAAGCTCAGAAGCTCACCTAATTCTTATGGGTTTTCTGGTTCATGCTTAGGATTGGCCGCGACACATCGAGCAAGTTCCTGCTGTTTTTGGCCTTAACTTCCAGGCCAAGGTAGTCTATCAAAACTTTCTTCACACCGACTCCAAGGTTAACAGCCTTGCGGTTGAAGGGTGACCTTTCCTCTCTTGCAGGGCTAACAAGTAGAGAAGGAGAGAAACTTGGAGTTGCATATTGAGTTCCTGAGCAAGAAAATGGGACTCTGTTATGAGAAGCAATGTTGGCTGCAGGAGCAGATGAGAACTGATCAGAATACTTAGCCATATCATCGGCATAAAGTAGATCATCGATACGTGCAATGATGTTAAATGCAAGGCTCTCTAAAACTCTAGAATAGCTTTCTAAGATAGACTTTCCGACATCCTGTAAAAAAAAAAGAGAGAGAATTTCATTAAGGCATATAAGAAGCTGAAACACATTTACATGGAAACCAGAAATTATTAGGTGCGTCTACTGTAAAAACACAGTCAAAGTGCAGCTGTTACAGTAACTACGCTTTTACTGTAGACAGTAAGAAATCCGAATATCTAATAATTTGTCCATGGAAAGAGGAGAAAAGGCATTAATTCAAAACCTTGTTGTATTGAATTTTGGTCATGTCTAGCGTTGTTTGTGTGAGAGCAGGGAACCTTTGCTTCAAACTCAGCAAAAGGCTCTCAGCTCTACCTGCGAGAAGCTCTCTTTTGTCTATGTCTACAATCATGTCTTTTATCATACCCCAAGATGGTTTATTTTTGGAACATGTTGAGTTCATAGGTCGTGCAGTAGTTCTTCGACGCCATAGATATGTTGTTGCTTCGACACGGTTCGCAATCTCTAGAGCTTGGTGCTCGGAAGAAAGGTCAAGGCAAGCCAGGAGGCAATCAGGAGAGAATTGTTCGGAGGTGATGTGACGGTATATTACATCACCAAGGCTGGCCCTTCCATTCTGCTCTCAAAGATTAGATGCAAAAATGTTCATAGCCAAACACTGGCATGGATGATTACAGAAATACATACCTTCGGAAGAGAATCAAGGTATGAATCAGGGATCTCCATTTCAGCCAAGGCATTGTTATTGATAGCCATTGCAGCTTTCAGGATTTGGTTAGTGCATTCGCGATTGTTTTGCAATTCCTTTCTGGTAGTATCTGGGATTCCACCAGGAGGAACACGAGGCACCGGTAGCCACCATTTCTCTTCTTGAAAAGGAAGAGTAAGCTTTCGAAAGGAAGCTGAGCCATCAGTATCTGAGGCTAATATACCTTGATCAACGTACCAGAATTCCGGGTTTCTGAAACCATCCAATAGTTCCTACGATAGTACAGTTTGATTAGAACAGTTTACATAGTTGCTCAAATTGGTGGTAAAAGGTAAAATGATCTCACAAGTAGCATATTATCGAGTTTCCGTAATGCTGGAAGATTAATATATAGATCAGACCGTTGCCTGCAAGTCATGACCTGCATGAAAGTATAAACAAATCATGACAAAGGAAATTTGGAAGGAATGAAATTATTAAATAGGAGCTTTTCATGCTTGTAGGTTAAACCAAGTGGCTTAGAGAAAAATGAAGCAAGAAAGTAAATTCAACAGAAAAGAAGAATTTTTTATAATTTGAAGAAAAGATTGGAAGAAGAAGACCAAATACCTCCAGCTTGCTTCCATCAGGAAATGTTTGCAATGATGGTGTCAACTCAACTATGTGATCACTAATACAAAGAAGCCATTCCATCTCTCTTCTCCACATGGATTTCTTCTCAGATGGTATTGGTTCCAACCTCCATAACTGTCCAAAAATTGTAGCTACAGAAGCAAAGAAAATAAATTATCTTAGTCAATAATCTGAAATATCAAATAGTGTGTGAACCTTCAAGTTACCACTGAGATTTGTAATGGCATTTGAAATCGCCAATGCAGTGCATACACCCTTTCCGCACCCTGACATGTCTTCTCCAAGCAACAATTTTGCAAACCTCTCTTTCATCATCTCAATTTCTGCCAAAATATAAACCATAAATCACCATCAATATAAGAGTGAGTGAGCGAAAGATTGTAGATCGAGCACCTGAAACCTTTGGCTTCATCTTTTCAATTTGAACGCATTCATTCACTGGATCTGACAGAGAGGTATTCTGCAATGGCCATCCCAGTGATTTTTCCTGCTTCAAGGATCCCTCACAGCCACCATTACTGCAACTTCCAGCATCTTCGGGTGAGGAAACTTCACAGCCGCAACTACTTACCCGGCCTTCTTCTTCTTCTTCTTCTTCTTCTTCACCAAAGATCTCATCTTTCTGCACCAAGCTCTCCATGTTGTGTGGCAATTTCAATAACAGAAAGAATAGACCGAACCCAAAGCAGCACTACCCTCTCCCAAAAAGTTTTCTTCACGACAAAATCATAACGGAAAAACAAAGCTTCTGAAAGAACCTGAAGCTAACCAGGAGAGAAAATGGGGTGCAGCTAAAAGGTGGAGTCAGTGCTCTCTGGGTTCCCTTGTCCAGTCCATGAGCAGAGGACCATCTCTGTAAGAGAGAAGTCTTCGTTTTTAAAATGGGAAGGTGGCGTAAGCCGGCAAACTTTTGTAGGAAAATTTATACTCAACTACATGGTCTATTTTGCGTATGCATATGGAGTCGAGCAAGAATTCGAGCGAGCTGAAATTCAAACCTTTTGATTTTGAATTATATTCCATTGAACTTTAGAAATCACATTAACATACTAAATTATTTTTAAAATAAATAATAATAAGTTTATGAAGATGTATTAATCCACTTCTGCTATGTTCCCTTATAAAAATTAGCCATTTATGCCATGAATGATTACAGGCAAGGCTGTCTTCCCCTCTGATTCTCACAACGCGACTTTTAGAAAGATTTTTTTTTTTCTTTCTCTATATCTGCTCCGTCCTTTCCTTCACTTTCTGAATGTCGGAAAAATTGCGAGAAAGCGAAAAAAAGTAGTACTTTTTTTTTAAATATTTAGGGCCGATCAGTAATAAAAAAAGAAAAAAAAAAAAAAAAAAAAAAACGTTAGGTCGTTGCAAATTTCAGAGTGGAAATCAAATAGGTAAAATAATGGAGGTTTCAAAGGCTACAGAAAAAAAAAGGAGGCCTTTGCTGTGAAGGAACAGAGTGCCAGCCTTTTGGACATCGGGAGCTGGCGAAGCAATCACAAACTGTGCTATCTTGAACGGACGGTTGTGATTCATCCACAAAAATAATTGATCGGGTACTAGTATATTGTTCACTTTTATGAATTTTATCCTTCAATTTGAAGTTTAAGCTATCAATTAAACAAAATATTTATGTCAAGATAGAACCGACTAAAATATAATAATAGATTTTAAAATATTTTAAAATTATTTTAAAAAACATATTATTTAAATAATTTATATTATATGGATCCATCTAAACATAAATTTAAAATTTATTCTGATAAAAAAATTATCTTAATATATTGACCTAATTTTTTAATAAGTGTTTGAAATTAAATTTAATAAAAATTAAAAATACAAAAAAATTATTTTTAATTTTTTTTTTAAATTCAATGGAAATATAAATAATGAATATCATGAAATTATTCGCTTCAATCTTATAATTGAGCCAAAGTACTCAGCTGCCTAAAATAATATTATTATTTGATTATGTCGAAAAATAAAAAAAATTGCATTCTTTTTATTTTGATTAATTAATTTAATAAATGGGTCTCTAATATTTTTATTTTGTAAATTTTTTTGATGATTAGAAAAGCTCTTCTCAATATCACAGCTCTGTCATTTTTATTGAAAGAGGTGAAGTAATTTCAAATTTTAATTCTACACTGAGATTGGAGAGATTAGTTTTTTTAATATTATCTTAGTTTAGTTGTATGCAGATAATATTATTATTTATATAATAATAATTTTCAAATAAAAAAGTATCTATATCTGCATTGTTATCTATGATATATAATACATTTTATTTAATACCATGTTATTAGGAATAATGAATGATGATTCTAATTATATTTTTTTGGCCATCAAAATTAAGATAAACAAAATAATATCAATTTAATCATTATTCAAAATATTTCAAAAAAATCTACTACTCAAGAGTAGATCCTATATGTGGGGTCCGGGGGCACAACCATCAAAACATTAAACAAGTCATTTTAGATTAAAAATGGGTTCAGAGGTCAATCAGAACACAACCCGTTTAATAAATGGGTTGAAAAAACCCAACCCAAACTCAAATTTTTTGGGATTGGCTCGGGTCAAGTTGGTGTGTTGGGTTATTTTTTTACACCCTTAACCAGGATGATAAAGACAAACAATTTACTTGATCAAATCTAACGATTTTCAAATACATTCAAATTGAACTAGAGGATGAATTCCAAATACTTCAAATTTTTACTTTTTCATTTTTTTTGCTTCAAATCAAACACCGGCATTTAAAGGACCTTTTACTGATTGAGAATAAGTTTTTTATGTATTGAATCCATATTAAGATTAATATAATAATTAATTAATCACGTATTATATATATGCAAAAATCATCGAATAAAAATTTTACAGATTAAATTTGGATTAGAATATCTTAACTTATTTTTATTTAGAATAATATGTATGTGTATGTCTTTATTACACCCGCAAGACTCAAATCTAAGATATTTTAGTTGATAGCTAAAATTCTCAACCAACATACCAAGATAAGCTGCGTTATTCATCATTGAGTTAAAAATGAGAAACATAACAATAATTGCATGATTGCATCTAATCATACTTTGATGTTGGCTGCATTAATGCAATTTTAAGGAATTGAGCACATAAACCTTTCTGCTTTGTGTGCACATATATGAAAAATTCAAACTTGATTTTCACAATCTCAACAATATATTTGAACTATTTTTTTTAATAGCAGAAATACATATTTGGAGTAGAACTTGAGTCAATAAAATGAGTTAATTTTTATTTAAATATAAATGGCTAATACATCAAGTTTGATTCAGAGGCCATTTTTCAAGTAGAATTTAAACTTGTTCGAGTGTTGATTCAGACTTTGTTTGAGAAAATTTTCTTATGACTTTCAAAAGTGAAAGTAATAAGAAAATTTTCTCAAACGAAACCTTAAAACAACCACCAAACTTTGCTAAGTGGAATATACAGATAAGTTTGTTGAGCCCTATTAAATTTACATGCATACTACTTGCTTTATCTTAAAGCAAATTCTTAATCCCATTTAACAAAACTCTAACATCCTGCACAATCACCTGCCTGCTCCTTTAATCATTATACTACTGGTTCCAACCACCATCTTTAGCTAAGGTTGGAAACTTTCCTCCACATCATACGATTTTCAATCACCAAAATCATCTTTTTAGAAGTATATTTAACTCTTAACGTTTGATGGATTGGCCTTCATTACCAGGAATTCTTCTATTTGTATAGAATTTAGTAGATGGGTCAGTTTTGCATGAAAAAACTTGCAAGCTTAGTTGGTTCATCAAATTAGTAGTGAATTTGTTTGATAGATACAGCTTATTTGGTCAGCCAAATTAGGATGGTTGCCTGAAGATAACTTTACTTTCTTTTAGATATATTGATGAACACATAGAATATAACATGATATTGATATCTTTTTTGGCACTATAACGTCTTTATATGTCAAACTTAAGACTGATTGGATCTCATTTGGGGTTAAGATGATTAGTTTTTATGTTATTAATAGTCATTCAGAATTATATTGTAGAACCTAACCTAATTGGGCCAATCTATAGAGTAGCCTAGAAGATCACCCTAGAATAACACATTACCTCACATTGGCTCAAGGCTAGACATACTTCAGAGAGGATGCAACTGCCCTCATAGTGGACCTGGATCAACATGGTTCAGGATCTGCCCTAGGCTCAACCTAGTTAGCCTTAGTGAACTGATGGGGACATTAGAGCATGAATTGTATATCAGAGGTGCGGCCGACGATCTACGGCCACAATCACGTCGATGTATTTTGAGATTATGTCATGTATTTGTTTTATTATGTTATTTGCCTTTTATTATTAGCTATGTTGTAATTGTTTTCCCTTTTTATCCCTCACTTAAAGGGATGTCGTATGTAAGCCATGAGGGCATTGTTGTCTTTTTTATTTTGAATCTTATGTACGAGGCTATTTATAGCCCCTATGTTCTCTTTGAAAAGCGATGGATGATTATTATGAGAAATTTCTTGCACTTGTGTGTTTTGAGAGCGTTTGAGAGTCCTTGGAGAGAACTATTGAAAAATCCTTAGGAGAGGGAAATTTAGATCACCCACCAATCTTGGAGACGGTCGGGTTCGTGGTTTTACCTTCTCTTTTGTTTCTCCTATTTCCTCCCTCAATTAGCCGCCGGTTTTGAAACCCCTCCCACCTCCTTAAGCCGTTGGTCACCATGCAATTTTCACTCGCCACCGAGTAACCATAATTCCTTCTCCACCCTCACCCGACCAACTCAACGTCATCACCACCCCCACCAAATTTTTCCCCTTCCAAGTCCTCCAAGCCGCCGGCCTCATCTCGCACTTCCTCCCTCCAAAATTCAAATCACACATTGGATTCATTCCTTAAGTATCTCATCTTAATTTTGGAAAGGTTTTAATTTCAAATCTCAAAGGAATTTGAAATTGAAATTTCTTTCCTAATTTAAGATACCTATTTTAGGAAAATTCCTAAATTAAGTTCAATTTGAATTTGAAATTCAAATAGGACTTAATTAAAATCTTTCCTAATTTCAATACCTAAATTTAGAAGCCCCAAATCTATTCCATAAATTCTCCCCCCAAAGCTTGGATGCCGCTGCCCCCCATAGAGTGGGATTAGGAAATTACTTCCTAAAATCTGTTAACATACCGTACACGTGGCAAGCAATAACTGGTTTAAACCTTTGTAACATTAGACCAGGATGTACTTTCTTTATATCATTACTTCTATATATATTCACTGTATACGGCTACCAGATTAATTAAGAATGAAAAACCTTTATCCTATCTCTCTGCTTCCTTTTCCTTGACCGTGAAATGCTCTCTGTCTTCTTTCTTCTTTTGTAATCTGGCAAGATTCTATCATTCTACATGGTATCAGAAGTTCCAGTTATCTTTCCAATCAACAACTATTGATGTCTACAACAGCAATGGCTTCCGCAGACACCAACTCCTCCTCAACTCAGGCAAACATATCCCATACCGACGGTGCTTTCTCATCATCTCAAATCCCCTCCTCTCTCAAATTCTTGATGAACAGCATCAAGAATGTCACTGCCCAAACCCTCACTACCGAAAATTACTCCATATGGCGTTCCCAAGTACAGAAACTCTTTCATGCCAACG